TGCCTTCACGCCAAGACCAGCCTTATTTCCACCTTCCTGCTCACCAGGATCAGCTCCCCTAGACGCCTGATGGACCAGATCAGCACGCCCAACGTACAGGCCAGCATGCATAAAGACTCGAGCAGCCCCCTCACCTACTGCACGAACTGTAGCAACGCACAACAATGCCGCCTGCTCGCCCAGGCCCTTCTCAGCGTTTGCCTTCACATCTCCACGCCAGACCACCCCTCCTACGCGAGTAGGCTGCTCCTTAAGACGACCTGGAGTGGTGCTTAGGCAATTCCCCAGCTCATCCAAGGCCTCTTGCTCGTCCAAGTTCCTTAAGTTAGTACCCTAAAAGGCGCCCAAGGCCTTTTGCTCGTCCAAAACAACGTGCCCAGCTGCATGGTCACCTAGAGCAGTGCCTGCTCGCCCAAAACTGCGCGCCAGCGCGTCTGCTCGCTATTTTGGTTGTAAATTTTGCTACGTAAGTCAAAATAGGACATATTATATATCAAATCGAAGCTCTCGATGAGATGAGCAAAACTCATTACCTTTGGTAATGAGCTTTCCAGAAAAAGTCCAAAAAAGGTCAAGAAAAAGGTATTTTGGCCTCCCGAAATTTAAAAAAAAAAAAAAATTGCCCAAGAGGTGGCTTGCTCGCCAAGGAGGTGGTCTGCTCGCCCAAAAGCTGGCTGTTCGCCCAAAAACGCATCCTTGGCTCCCTGCTCGCTATTTTGACCGTAACTTTTGGTTCGTAACTCAAAATGAGGCTTATTATATACCAAATCAAAACTCTCGACGAGCTGAGCAAAACTTATTATCTTTGGTAATAAGCTTTTCAAAAAAAATCCAAAAAATGTTCAAAAAGAGGTGTTTTGGCCTCCCAAAATTAAAAAAATAAAAAAAATTTCTACTCGCCCAGAACGGTGCTCTACTTGCCCAAATTACTCTCCTAGCTCTCTACTCGAAATTTTGACAGTAACTTTTGTTCTGTTGCTTGAAATAAGGCTTATAATATATCAAATCAAAACTCACGGCGAGCCCTACAATACTCACAGCCATGGCTATGAATGATGTTGTTAAAAGTCTAAAAAAAGCCTATAAACGGATGTTTTGGCCTCTCGAAATTTTTCTAGTTATACTAGTCAGTCAAAAATTCAAAATTCAACTTAAATGCCCTCTTTTCCAAGTTCTGTTGGACACAGGGCATTGGGAGGCAAATAATGGGCCAGGCCCAAATGCCCAACCCATGTTATAAGTCTGGTCTGAGCTAAAGACCCAATTCCAAGAGATCCAGCTAGTTAAGCCCAAATGAGTCTACACCCGGATAACCTTATCAAGATCAAGGAGGTTCATCAGCAGGGGAGCATGCACGGTCATCCAAAAGCCTCCTCTACCACCTTGGAGTAAGGGTCACCCAAAAACCTCCTCTACGCCACCAAGGAATATCCAGGAGCCTCACCCTCGCAGCCTGGAGAGAGTCAACCTCCCTCATCCTTGACCAAGTCCTTTGGAGAGCACACCAACCCGTCACACCTCGCGCCGTTTGAGAAGATGATAGATCACCTCCACCGGATCAGCTACCTAATTACTATCAAACGGTCCTAAGCCATAATAACCGTNGCCGTTTGAGAAGATGATAGATCGCCTCCACCGGATCAGCTACCTAATTACTATCAAACGGTCCTAAGCCATAATAACCGTTAGAATAGTCATACAATTACTACGCCAAACAACTATAAATTGTAAGCTCCTCTGACACTTGGGGGACATCAGACTCATTTAAGCATAATTCTCTCATCCCCTTTCAAAGCTTGTAATCATGTGCTCTCCCTCCACACCAGAGATAATAAAATTCCGGCGAATCTAGCTATTCAAAGTGGACGTAGGGTCGTATTGATCGAACCGCTATAAATCTTGTCTTCTCTCCCCTTCTACTTACTGCATTTTATATTATAACTTGACTAGTGGTGTGCAAACTAATTTGTGTATTATCATTAATTATTAATTTATACATGTATTATACAGTAATTCAAACTATTAAAGTTACAATTGTAATTAAAGAACTAAAGCTATAAGAATAAGAAGGGAGAAAGGTTAGAGACCAAATGTTATCGGAGAAGAAGAGTTTTGATAGAACATGGAAGCAAAAATGCTAACATTAATAAGATGTGTGGGGGTATAATTGACATAACATTATTAAATAGGGGTGAAATAGAAAATTAAAATTTTTTTACTGAGATTAATAAACAATATAAATATTGATAGATAGATAATATTTTGAGTGAATGATTACACATAAAACTGTTGACGGACATTTCTGTGCTTGGACATGTATCCCACATCGGAAAGAGAGGCGGAAAATGGCAGTTAGATAATATAAATCCACGAATTTTAATATTTAAACTCAAATTTAATCCCTGATCAAACAAAGCAAAAAAATTTTGAAATTGTAGCTAAGGGACCACGTGTGAGCAATAACAGAGCACATGATTGGATAAGGGCCCACTGGGCCTATATCAATCTCCACATATGCATTTCCTTTGTATTTCTATACATGCCAAACAACTGCAGCAACTATTTATTACCATGAACTACCAACATTCCATCACTGTTGGTTTGCTGGTACTAATAGTAAATGTCAGTGATATATCCCTTGGCATATCATCGTGCCCTACTCGTGCAATATCATCAACGAAAATTCATGTAGCAATACTTGTCTGGATTTACACGATTTAGTTTAGCTACCATAGCTACCATACCCCTGATATGGAAAGAATCTTGCTACACTGACTAAATTTTTGGATCAAATTTAGAGTCAAAATAATATTACAATTGATTTAGGTTTCTTTATTTGATGTCATGTCATTTGGGTCCCAATAAAAATTTCAAACAATATGCTGTCATGTTATTTGAACTCTAAATTTAATCCAAAAATTTGATCAATGTAACATTACTCATATGAAAAAGAATGCCTTGAAATCGCTCATCCATTTTTGTACTCGAATGACAAGAATAAACTCACAAGAGATGCTAACAAAGTAAAATAAATTCAGAATACAACATAATAGATGAGTTGTTAATAGGAGAAGAGGGTTTTTTGTAAGGTGGGTTTTAGCAACAATAGATGGTGGGCGAAGGGTTTCGCAGGGTGGGATTTGCAAGAACTGAATTCTCAGATGATAGGTTGTGAACTATGAAACACGGATATGAGTACAATATTATACAGATATAGTAATACTATAAAATGTAAAAAAGTAGGATACGAGTACGATCAAGATACGACTATAATAAAATATATTTAATATTTTTATTATTTTCAACTAATTTAATACTTATATATTTTGGTAGTTATTTAACATATAATAAATAAAATTAATAATTTTTTTTAGTTTCAAGAAAATATATATCGTGTCATTGTGGTACATTCACATAGTGAAACGATTAATTAAAGGAATCAAAACTAATATTTACCTAATATTAAAAAATAGTTTTTGCTAAAATTATAATGTAATAGCTTTATTTTATGTTCTTTTGACATGTAATTGTAGATAATACTTAAAAATTATTCAAGTGCCTTTAAAATAATGTGAATTTTTTGTTAATATATTGTATGATATGTGAATTCGAAAAGAGACGTTAAAAGTTTAATTAAAATTATATATGTTGCTTGATTACAAAAGTATACGTGAAGTATTGTAATATTTAATTATTATCGAATACGTAGAAGATGTATTTGATATGTATTCTTGAGTANTTAAAATTATATATGTTGCTTGATTACAAAAGTATACGTGAAGTATTGTAATATTTAATTATTATCGAATACGTAGAAGATGTATTTGATATGTATTCTTGAGTATCTGATAAATATTACATCTAATATGATATTCAATACGGATTCATCAACCTCAACAAAATATCCGTAATAATGATGTGCAGTAGATGAAAGATAAAATGAGTGTTTTCTTGGCCAGACATGTTCAAAGGACATAATCGCCTTTTCAAAAATGCCCTTTTTAAATCCAAGTCAAATGATGAAAGTGTAAATGTCTATATAATGGCCCCAAAAAACCAGAGGAAAGTAAATCAACACATTCAATATTCTATCAACACCGCTTCACTCAAGGGGTTCCGATGTTATTTTATAAATCTCAAGGGGGTCCATGTAATATTCCGAAACCTCAGGGGGTGCCCGTGTTTAATCTCTGCTTACTATCATCTCTCTCTCTCTCTCTTTTGTTTCTCTCGTCTCTCCTTACTCTTTTATAATCACCCGAGCCGGTGACCATGTCCAAGATGCTCTACATGAAAGCAGAAAGAAAGGCAGAAAGTGACAATCACAGTCAAGCAATACTATATAAATTCTCTGCTACATAACGTATTAGTTTAAGCGAAAACTCGTGCAAGAGTGTGTGTGTGTGAGAGAGAGAGAGAGAGAGAGAGCGAAGGTTTTCAAACCGTCCATCCATCTCACCCAACCAAGGCCGGCAGTGGCCTGCAGTCTTTGGAAGAATCACAGCGCACTTAGCTATGGACTCCGTGTGGCGGACCCAAAAGACGCGTCTATTCAACATCCGAATCCCTCCAATTTCGTATGCATTCGGAATCTCTGTCTTCTTCTCTACTCTCTCTACTCACCTATGCCACACCCATCATAATGTCTTCCACAATCAGTCTGATTTTCACTAACTAACAGCTAGATGTCTCCTGTNAGAATCCCTCCAATTTCGTATGCATTCGGAATCTCTGTCGTCTTCTCTACTCACTTATGCCACACCCAATATAATGTCTTCCACAATCAGTCTGATTTTCACTAACTAACAGCTAGATGTCTCCTGTGTTATCTAATAATGGTTATGTCTTGTTGGGTTTTATGTTTTTTTCTCTCTCTGATACGTTATGGCTATTGTTTTCATGTGAATCCTTTGCCCTGTAATGCTTCTGTATCCAAATCATGTCCCGCCGCTCTATACTTTGTTCCTGAAAAAACACAAACCCTTGAAGAAACTACTTCAATGTTCGGTGTTAGCTCTAATGCAGTCAATAGAACAGTAGATGGGTTTGTGATTTCTATCAATTGTAGCTGTCCTCCTGGCCATGATGATTTCACTTGGCATATGGAGTATACGGTCCAACATGGGGACTCATGGGAGAGCATTTCAGCTAAGTTTGGGTCATTTGTGGTGGAAAAACCTGATAAGACGTTGATTGGATCGACAAACATTACTTTAGATCTCTTATGTGGTTGTTCTGAAAGTGTGGAGCTCTTAACCTACAGAATTAAAACTGGGGATACACTTTATACTATTTGTTCTCGGTTTAGTAGTGATGTTGGCAGGACTACAAAACTGAATAAGTTGGATGATCCGGCTCTTATTCATGCTGGGGATGTTATTTTCATCCCTGAGCCAGGTAGTAGAAATTAATATGAGTTGCTTGTTACACCTTGGAATTGTTTATTGTATGCCTGGTTTAGATAGGGTCGTGTTTCAAGAATAGTTTAGAAACACATTTCATTGCATGAGCTTCAAGGTGTGAGACACTATCAGGCAGATGCATTGTTTTTGTGTTATGTTAGCAAGCACCCTGAGCTGATATCAGAAAGTTGGTACTCAGAAGTTTTTTATTACTCTTCTGTATTAGTTTAACCTCTAAAATAGATGCAGGCGTAGGCTAAATTGCAGTCTGATATTGTTCGTTTTAATCTTGAAGTAAGTTTGCTGGTTGTACCCTTCTTTTTTGGTGTTGCCTTGAAATATGACGGAAGTCTTGTGTGAAATTGTTGGGCTCCATTGCCGTATGCACCTTTAAGCTACGGAAAATAGCGTTATAACAATGTCTCAATTTATCTAAAAAAATTTCACCTCAATGGCTAATCATTTCTTTTTTCCTTCGCATTTTTTATGTACAGGGGGGCTAAAAAATCTTAGCTTGATTGGCAATCAAGGTTAGTGACAAAGTATCCATGTTTTAATATTGTTGGCCCATCACTAACATCACATAAACTTATTGTCTAAGTGTTTGATAGTGGTTTATATGTGATCACTTGTTTGAATGGTGTGCATTTCAATAATTTACACCAATTTCTCTTTTTGAGGAATGTGGTATGTACATATTTTGCAATTGACTGCAGACAGATATTTAAAACTGGGAACTAGGTTGGTTATTGTAGGAGGAAAATTTCATAGTACATGGAAGTTGTGACTCCTGGTTCTAGTTGATGCCTTTTCTTATGGTATTTCTCATATCAAAAGTTGATATAGATTGGACTTATACTTGATGCTTCNAGGAGGAAAATTTCATAGTACATGGAAGTTGTGACTCCTGGTTCTAGTTGATGCCTTTCCTTATGGTATTTCTCATATCAAAAGTTGATATAGATTGGACTTATACTTGATGCTTCATAATTTAGTTTGTTATTGCAGAAAAAGTGATAATTTTATGATTTTGAAGTCACCTTTCTGGATTCTGGAATGATTCTCTTTCATCTTAGAATTGTTTGTAAGTTGCTCGTGTACGTAGTCAAAGGAAAAAATTGTTGATGGTATAGGTTTTGTTATCTGTAAATGTGGGCATTCAGACTGTTCTGTTATATTGCAATAGCCAACATGAGACTTGCTAGTGCTTATCATATCGATTTCATAAGCTTTGCGTATGGAAGGATATCAAGTTGTATCATTGTTATTTGAGGATTAAGAAGTTCATATGGGCATGGGAAAATGTACAATGTGCTGATCACTCCTAAATGTGGCAGAACTTTGGGTTTGTCTTGTGATGATCATGTACATTGTCTAATGACTAGAATGTGACTAGATGATGCCAAACAAGAGGGATGTTCTTTTTCTTTGGATATAAGCTGATACATGACACATTTGTGTTTAAAGGGTATAACTTTTTTATTCTCCTTTGGCTGCATGTTTGAATTTAATTGTTTGAGGCACAACACTATATCGTTTTCGTTTGTAATGATTGAGTCTGTTTATTGGCCTTCCTAGAATTCTCTAATTTTTGTGGTCCTTTTCTCAAGAGTTTGATAAAGTTCTTTCTCATATGTCATCGTTTTGTCTTCTTTTTTGTTACAATTCTTTTTCTTCTTAATTATCCATTTCAATTACTCTTATTTGGGGGATATGCACACTGTAATTACATTTTCCTTTCATTTTCATATGTTGCAGATCCAATTCCGAAGGCCAAAAAATTATCAAAATCTCAATTCCCTGTGATTGTTGGAAGCATTCTGGCAGCTGCTATTGTTGTGCTATTATTAGTTATCATTTTCTGGTTTTACTATAAGAGGAAGGGAACAAAAGCATTTAGGAGGGGAATGAAATACTTGCCTTGTGACTTCTATTCTTCCAGGACATCTTCAAGTAAAAACATTTCTTTATTTCAAAATTTTGGTGGAAAGTGAATTTAGTCATTAAGTTATCATAGTCGTTATTATTTGATTCTATGAGCATTCCTATGCAGAATCTCAAGAAAGCATAGTTTCCTCAATCAACTCTGGTAGAGCTACCGTCTTCCCCTACAATGAAGTTTGTGATGCAACTTCCAACTTTAGTGCGTCTTTAAAGATTGGCCAAGGTTCTTATGGATTGGTTTACCATGGAAAGTTAAGGGGAATGGTTAGTATGATTAACTGATTTGTTTTTTTCACTACTCTCTAAAGTTGTAATAGAATATATTTATGGCTGATAGCATCCTGTATGGCTGTAGGATGTGGCTATTAAGCAGATGAAAAACACAAAGTCAAAAGAGTTCTTGTCAGAGCTCAATATTCTTTGCAGAGTACATCATACAAACTTGGTACGAGTTGTCTTAGATCTTATCTGAATTTGAAAGTTTATTTCTTCTTCGTTTAAATGCCATTTTTTATGCCACTGGAAAAACCAAATCTGGATTTAGTTTGTCCTTTTGTGTTCTTGGCACTGTTTCTTTTTTTGTGCTAATTGTTTTTTCTTTTCTGTCTGGCTTTTCAATTAGATTGAGCTAATTGGATATGCGGCTGGTGGAGAGTCTCTGTTTCTTGTATATGAACTTGCACAAAATGGTGCATTGAGTGATCATCTTCACAATTCCACTGTAAGAGGTTTGTGTATTCATTATTCAATGTTTATACTGCAATATTTTGCAGATAAATGTCATAATCCATGAATAAACAGTGTGTGACTTGGAAATTGACTAGTTTGCTCTATATACTTTTGTTGTGCCAGAAAATTTGTCTGGAAAATGGTGCAAGTTTACGTAATAGAATTTGATACTTGTTGAACTGATGCTAAAATATCCCAATTAGAAATTTTTATTATTTTGCCTTGACGATGGCAATTGTTTTCCAGTATATATATTCAGGCCATGAAGGTTTTTTGGGTTATGTATTTTAGCCTTGAAATAGTACTTCCCACCAAAGACCCTGCAATGGTTATGCATCAATAGCCAGCCCATCTGTTGGTGTAAAGAATATTTTGACCAATAGCAGTTCCTTTTACTGTCCGTATTTATGCAAGATGTTATTCTTATAAACTGAAACCAAAAATCTGGAATGCTTTTAATACTCAGTGTGCATATTCTTTTTCAAATGCTGTTTTTGTGATTGGCAATCAGAAGTGCAAGTAAACATTGGTCTGAGACTTTTCTCAACTGATCAGTCTCATCATCAAACAAGTAGCTTCCTGCTACAATTTGGAAGCCTAGTATATTGTCTACAATCAGATTCTTGCTGAAAAATCGAAGCCGTGTGTGGAATATGTAGTTGGATACTTGGATAGCTGTCTTTAGGATCCAGGCTGATTCAACACTGATCAAGGAATTCGATTGCTAATAAGCACCAAATTTTCTTTTGGTTTTTCTCTGGAAATTGATAGGCTATTGCTCTTATGAGTCACCAATCCAATTATTGTTATCTCTGAAGAAAGCATTCTATTATTAGATATCTTCTACTCTATTCTCGTATAGTTGATTCGTTTCCTTTATGTAATGCTGTATCCTCAATAAAATTATGGCTTTTATTTTAGGTTGCATGACATAAAATATCATTTTACCAGAAAAAAGTGGGCATTGAATCCATCCAAACCTGGGGCCTGGTTAAATTTTTTTCCTATTACCGCAGTAGGGAGAAGCTGGACGATCATTGACCGGACAAATTACACTAATTTTGCAGCGCTGATGTGGTTTCATTTCACATGCTTGCTGGTTGTCCATTTATTTCTCACTGTTCAAACTCAGAAAAGGAACATGTCAAATATATTGATTTCAATGAACAAATTTGTGGCAAATACCCATTTGTTAGAGTGCTGTTCATTCCTGAGACCATTATGAAAACACTAACTCACCACTTGCGATCATGCTAAACATTTACAGGTTTCCTCCTTTTCTTTCTAATTCTTATGAGCTGAAAATTTGAACTCGACAGGTTTTAAACCTCTTTCTTGGACCACACGAGTTCAGATTTCTCTTGATGCTGCAAAAGGGCTTGAGTATATACATGTACACACCAAGCCATACTATGTCCATCGGGATGTGAAGACAAGCAATATTCTATTAGATTCCAGTTTTCGCGCAAAGGTAGAAGGATTGGCATCACTTGTAAAGCTTCTTTCAATTGTCTTCTATTAATTTCTTGGAACTTGATATTAAGTATGGCATGCCGGACACTTATGACATTGGGTCTTGTTATTGGATTACCTGCCATATTTGCTGGAAATTTGTAGAATAAATACTTTTTCTTATGCTTTGGAGATATTTTGTTCAACTTGCTTCCTTAACTCGCTTTACTTTAAGTATTCTAGGCTAGGAAGTACGGATACGTGATACAAGTATGATACGATACAATACGGATATGGCAATATGAGAAAACTTTTAAAAAAGGAAACAGATATGACCAGATTACGTCTATAATAAAATATAATTTATATTTTATTATTATTTAACTGCTTAAAAATTCNACAATATGACAAAACTTTTAAAGAAGGAAACAGATATGACCAGACTACGTCTATAATAAAATATAATTTATATTTTATTATTATTTAACTGCTTAAAAATTCTAACTTTCAATAATTCTTAAGCAGTAGTAAGCAAAGTTAGGAATTTTTACCTTAAAAAAGATGTAATATTGTCTTATTATGATATATCCATAAAATGAGTATGACCAATTAAAAGAATCTGAACCACATTTAACTAGTTGGTTTGTTTACAAGTATTTCTTTTTAAGATTAGTGTGCAATTAACTCATGTTTTTATACTTTTTTGACATATAATAATAGATAATATTTAAAAAAATTCGTGTTTTCAAAATTAGATGAAATTTATTATATGTGAACTCGAAAGGAAAGAGTATAGGTTAAAATTAAAAATTGTACATCTTGTTCTATGTTTAGAAGTTTCCGCTTAGTGTCCACATATTTTATTAATTATTGGATATGTATGATGCGTATCCAATATATATTTTCAAGTATTTTACGAGTATCGTATCTGACACGGGTTCGTTGACTTTGACGAAGTATTCGTGCTTCATAAATCCTAGGACGTGTAGTTTTAATTCAAATAATTGTTTTAATTTAAACAATTGTTGATGTTGTGTATTATATGTAAACTCGAAAGGAAAGAGTATAGGTTAAAATTAAAAATTGTACATCTTGTTCTATGTTTAAAAGTATCCACTTAGTGTCCGCATATTTTATTAATTATTGGATACTTATGATGCGTACCCAATATGTATTTTCAAGTATCTTACGAATATCGTATCCGATAGGATATGTCGACTTTGACAAAGTATCCGTGCTTCATACATCCTAGGACGTGTAGTTTTAATTCAAACAATTGTGATATGTTAACTACTCCTAATCTATGATGAAAGGTGTCATTGTTGGAAGCATTCCTATAAATTTTGGCAAGTGCAGCAACTGAGCATTGAACAATTTGCTTTGCTAGCCAAAAAATAAAGCCATGAAGGTTTTGAGAAGGTAAAAAGAAAATGATAGAATGCTCCCATAAAGACAACTAAATAAGTGTAAAAGGTGACTTGGACATCTGATATTGTCCTACTTTTGTTGATAGGGATTGTGTGTAGAGGCGAATTTGTCTATAAATATATATATGGGAGCATAGTGAACATGAATCACTTTAGATGATGGTTGCAGGGATCGTCTTAATTCATTGTGTTCTGCAGCATTCTAATGTATTTTGTTTCCAAGTTGTCTATGGGAAGTTTCTAATTTATTTGTTCTTTTTAATTTCAAACATGAAAATTATATTATTTCTAAATTTGTACCTTTCACAACCTTGAGGCTTGAGCTTTAATTTTTATTGCATGAGATATGAGCTATAAGGTATGATGTTATAATCCTTTGTATCTTGGGGTGCAAAATGGGAATTGTATTAGATATTAGACATAACCATATGCCATTCCCTTTAAACAATGAATTGGAGTTAAGATGTATAATTTATCTTCATTGAGTTCAACCTACCCATACAAAAAGTTCATAATTAATCAAGCTGACTCTGTAAAATGACAACCCAATAGTTTCTCATATTTATGGAGACCAAATTATCGAATGCACATATATAAGGAGTGTGAAGAAGCAATTTATAGAGAAATGACAAAAAAAAAAAACTATGGTAATGCCTTTTGTTAAGAATATTAGGGTAGTATATATAAATTGTTAATAGTAAGAGGGTGTATGTGTAATTTTTATTATTATGAGTTAACTATAAATATAAGTGTTGTATAAGAGCTAGGTTAGGTTGTNATGAGGGTGTATGTGTAATTCTTATTATTATGAGTTAACTATAAATATAAGTGTTGTATAAGAGCTAGGTTAGGTTGTTAATCTCTCTCTTTCTCCCTAAATATTGTCTCTTATATTGTGTTAATCTTCCAAACTTAATATGGTATCAGAGCAATTACGATCATAAATATATATTCTGAATAAATTTTGTTCGTAGAGGTGTTACTGTTGTTACTGTCGTGGTAGTGTTGTAGCATCGTGGTGGTGGTGCTACTATTGTGGTGGTGTTGATACTGGTTGTGGTAATACTGTGTTTATCAGAATCATGTTGTGGTGGTATTGTTGGTGGTAGTCTGTTGTGGTGGTACTATGTTTGCCCAAGTTCAGTNTTACTGTCGTGGTAGTGCTGTAGCATCGTGGTGGTGGTGCTACTGTTGTGGTGGTGTTGATACTGGCTGTGGTAATACTGTGTTTATCAGAATCATGTTGTGGTGGTATTGTTGGTGGTAGTCTGTTGTGGTGGTACTATGTTTGCCCAAGTTCAGTGTGTGTTGGTGGTGGTCCTGTGTTTGCCGACATTCGGTTTGTCTCGGTTTGTGATGTCTGTGGTCAGTTGTGGTGTTGCTCAGTCGATGAGCTTAGTGGTGGTGGCGTGGCTGTTGAGGCGCAGTCAGCACAGAAGAGGATTTTTTGCAACCCTAACCAACGAAGAAGAAACAGCCCAGACCCGATCCACTTCGGGTTAACCCAAATCTGATCCAACCCTAGTTGGTTTCGGTTCAACCCAATTTCAGTGGTTCAGACAGTTTTGATTCGGGTTCAGAGGTTTAGCGAGTCAAACTAACCCGGTTCAGTGATCCAACAAGCCAAACCGGCCCGGTTCAGTGATCCAACAAGCTAAACTGGTCCGGTTCAGTGCTCCAACAAGTCAAACTGGCTCGGTTCAACGGTCCAACTAGCTTTTCTAGCCCGGTTCAGTGATCTAGTAGCCTTTTCTGGTCCAGTTCAGTAGTCCAGTACCCTTTTTTGGTCCGGTTCAGCGGTCTAGTGTACTTATCAGATCCGGTTCAGCGTTCCAGTGAGATTCTCCAACCCGGTTNGCACGCTAAACTGGTCCGGTTCAGTGCTCCAACAAGTCAAACCGGCTCGGTTCAACTGTCTAACTAGCTTTTCCAGCCCAGTTCAGTGATCTAGTAGCCTTTTCTGGTCCAGTTCAGTAGTCCAGTACCCTTTTTTGGTCCGGTTCAGCAGTCTAGTGTACTTATCAGATCCGGTTCAGCGTTCCAGTGAGATTCTCCAACCCGGTTTGGTGATCTAGCAATCTTTTCCTCTTCGGTTCAGCAGTGTAGTAGGTGATTCTTGTCCGGTTCAGTGATCTAGTGATTTTCTTTTTCTATTTGCTACACTTATGAAACCCAAGCAAGACACTGGGTTGGTTACTATTACACGAGAGGAGTATGCTCAGTTCCTGTCCCAGCAACAGGCTGTCCCATCTCCCTCCACTGCTACTTTTACCCAGTCAAGTATTGCTTCCACTCGTAGTTCCTAGATCATAGACTCTGGCGCTTCTGACCACATAACTGGTTCGTCTGATATTTTTTCTACTTATCAGTCTGCTACTTTCACACGTAGTGTTATTCTTACTAATGGTACTTGTTCTAAAGTTTCAGGTCTGGGGACTACTCACTTGAGTCTTGATATGTCCCTGTCTTCCGTGTTATTTGTTCCTCAGTTTCCTTTTAGTTTACTTTCCATTAGTAAGATTATTCATTCTCTGAATTGTTCCGTAACCTTTTATCCCTCTTATTATGTCTTTCAAGATCTCAAGACGAAGAGAAAGATTGATACAGGGCATGAAGCTGATGGCCTATATTACCTTGACTTTGATTCACCTACCTAGGCCCTACAGACCTCGTTTTCTCCTTTTCAATGGCATTGTCGTCTTCAACATCCCTTTCTCCAGAATCTAAAGCNCTTTTATCCCTCTTATTATGTCTTTCAAGATCTCAAGACGAAGAGGAAGATTGGTACAGGGCATGAAGCTGATGGCCTATATTACCTTGACTTTGATTCACCTACCTAGGCCCTACAGACCTCGTTTTCTCCTTTTCAATGGCATTGTCGTCTTCAACATCCCTTTCTCCAGAATCTAAAGCGTCAAGTTCCTAGCCTTAGCTATGTGTAGTCTTTGTCTTTTGAAGCTTGTTAACTTAGTAAGTATCACCGTGTGTCTTTTCAATCTAGAGTCAATAATCGTGTGTCTAGTCCATTTGAGTTAGTACATTCTGATGTATGGGGTCCCATAAAGAATATTTCATCTAATAAATATCTTTATTTTGTGATATTTATAGATGACTATTCTCGTGTGACTTGGTTGTTTTTGATGAACGCTCGGTCTGAATTGTTCTCTATATTTGAGACCTTTCGTAAGGAAATAAAAACTCAGTATGGTTGTCGTATAGGTATTTTATGTCCCGATAATGCTCGGGAATATGAATCTGATCATTNATAGATGACTATTCTCGTGTGACTTGGTTGTTTTTGATGAACGCTCGGTCTGAATTGTTTTCTATATTTGAGACCTTTCGTAAGGAAATAAAAACTCAGTATGGTTGTCGTATAGGTATTTTATGTCCCGATAATGCTCGGGAATATGAATCTGATCATTTTTCAGCTTATCTTAGTAAAACTGACATTATTCATCAGACTTCTTATGCTTACATCTCTCCACAGAATGGTGTTGCTGAACGTAAAAATTGTCATTTGTTGGAAGTCACTCGTGCCCTGTTTTTCCAAATGAATATTTTTCGATATTTTTGGAGTGATGTTGTTCTTATTGCTTGTCACCTTATTAATCGTATGTCAACCTCTGTGTTAAAGGGGCAAAGCCCATTTTCTGTTCTTTTTCCTGGTAAGCCCTNATGCTTATATCTCTCCACAGAATGGTGTTGCTGAACGTAAAAATCGTCATTTGTTGGAAGTCACTCGTGCCCTGTTATTCCAAATGAATATTTTTCGATATTTTTGGAGTGATGTTGTTCTTATTGCTTGTCACCTTATTAATCGTATGCCAACCTCTGTGTTAAAGGGGCAAAGCCCATTTTCTGTTCTTTTTCCTGGTAAGCCCTTATTTTCCCTGACTCTTAAGGTTTTTGGATGTGTCTGTTATGTTCACAATTTGGGTCCTGGATTCGACAAACTTGACCCTCGAACTACCAAATGTGTATTTCTTGGTTACTCCTGCACGCAGAATGGATATTGTTGCTATAGTCTTTCTCTGCACTGATACTTTACTAGTGCCAATGTCACGTTTGAAGAATCTGTTCCATATTTTTCAGCACCTTCTCAGCCTTTGGATCTAGACTTTGGGTCATCTCTTATACCATCATTTTTTTTCTTATCTTCANACTACCAAATGTGTATTTCTTGGTTACTCCTGCACGCAGAATGGATATCGTTGCTATAGTCTTTCTCTGCACTTATACTTTACTAGTGCCAATGTCACGTTTGAAGAATCTGTTCCATATTTTTCAGCACCTTCTCAGCCTTTGGATCTAGACTTTGGGTCATCTCTTATACCATCATTTTTTTTCTTATCTTCAGATATTCCGCTATCCACTGTGTTAACATCTACTTTACCTCTCCATGTCTACTCTTGCCGTCTTTGTCCATCGACTGAGGTGCCCGTACCGTCTTCCTTGCCGCCTTTTGATCGTGGTACGTCAGGTAATTTAGACTCTGTACCTATTGCTCTTTGGAAAGGTAGTCGTTCGTGTGTTACTAATCATCCCATTGCTCATTTTATTTCATATGATGCCTTGTCTCCTGCCTTCTCTTGTGTTACTTTCAAATTATCTACTATATCTATTTCTAAGCATTTACAAGATACATTATCTGATCCGGGTTGGAGGAAAGCTATGANTCCATCGACTGAGGTGCCCGTACCGTCTTCCTTGCCGCCTTTTGATCGTGGTACATCAGGTAATTTAGACTCTGTACCTATTGCTCTTTGGAAAGGTAGTCGTTCGTGTGTTACTAATCATCCCATTGCTCATTTTATTTCATATGATGCCTTGTCTCCTGCCTTCTCTTGTGTTACTTTCAAATTATCTACTATATCTATTTCTAAGCATTTACAAGATACATTATCTGATCCGGGTTGGAGGAAAGCTATGAAGGAGGAGATGGATGCCTTACATCATAACGGGACTTGGGATCTCGTTCCTTTACCTCCTGGTAAACGAATTGTTGGTTGTCGTTGGGTGTATGCTGTTAAATTTCATCCGGATGGTTCTGTGGAGCGTCTAAAAGTCAGACTTGTTGCAAAGGGTTTTACTCNGATCTACTATATCTATTTCTAAGCATTTACAAGATGCATTATCTGATCCGGGTTGGAGGAAAGCTATGGAGGAGGAGATGGATGCCTTACATCATAACGGGACTTGGGATCTCGTTCCTTTACCTCCTGGTAAACGAATTGTTGGTTGTCGTTGGGTGTATGCTGTTAAATTTCATCCGGATGGTTCTGTGGAGCGTCTAAAAGTCAGACTTGTTGCAAAGGGTTTTACTCAGACTTATGGTGTTGATTATGAGGAGACTTTCTCTTATGTTGCCAAAATTTCTTCAGTTCGTATCTTGATTTCTTTGGCTGCTAATCTTGATTGGCCCTTGTTTCAGTTANTCAGACTTGTTGCAAAGGACTTTACTCAGACTTATGGTGTTGATTATGAGGAGACTTTCTCTTCTGTTGCCAAAATTTCTTCAGTTCGTATCTTGATTTCTTTGGCTGCTAATCTTGATTGACCCTTGTTTCAGTTAGATGTCAAAAATACCTTCCTACATGGTGACATGGTTGAAGAGGTATACATGGAGCAGCCACTTCGGTTTACTGCTCAGGGGGAGTATGGTAAGAGTGTATGTTGGTTAAAGAAATCTTTGTNGTGGTTGAAGAGGTATACATGGAGCAGCCACTTGGGTTTACTGTTCAGGGGGAGTATGGTAAGAGTGTATGTTGGTTAAAGAAATCTTTGTATGGTTTGAAACAGTCACCGAGGGCATGGTTTGGTAAATTTTCAGATGCAATTTTAGAGTTTGGTCTTCTTCGATGTCAAACAGATCATTCTGTGTTTCATAGACAGACAAATGTTGGATATGTTCTATTGGTGGTCTATGTAGATGATATTGTGATTACTGGAAATGNTGTTTCATAGACAGACAAATGTTGGATATGTTCTATTGGTGGTTTATGGAGATGATATTGTGATTACTGGAAATGATTCTAAGAGGATTGTCAAGTTAAAGATATTCTTGCAGGATCGATTTCATACTAAGGATTTGGGAAAACTTAGGTATTTCTTGGGTATTGAGNAGGATTGTCAAGTTAAAGATATTCTTGCAAGATCGATTTCATACTAAGGATTTGGAAAAACTTAGGTATTTCTTGGGTATTGAGGTGGCTCGATCTAAACAGGGTATTTGTTTATCCCAGATGAAATATGTACTTGACATGTTAGAGAAAGTAGGTTTGTTGGGTGGCAGACCTATTGATGTTCCTATGGATCCGAATCAGAAAATTTTAATGGATGATGGTGCACTGTTTGAGAATCCGAGTCAGTATCACAAATTGGTTGGGAAGCTCAATTATCTCACTATTATTCGACCGGATATTTTCTATGCAGTCAGTATAGTAAGTCAGTTCATGGGGTATCCTAAAGTACCACATTGGGAGATAGTTGTATTCTGCGATATCCCAAACGAGTTCCTGTACTTGGACTGTTATATCGAGCTAATTGACATCTTAGAGTGGAAGGTTTCTCAGATGCNTCAAACGAGTTCCTGGACTTGGACTGTTATATCGAGCTAATTGACATCTTAGAGTGGAAGGTTTCTCAGATGCTGATTGGGCTGACTCTCCTTCTGATCGGAGATCAACCACTGATTATTGTATTTTATTAGGAGGTAACGTTGTTTCAAGGATGAGTAAGAAACAATCCGTGGTAGCAAGATCCAGTGCTGANCTTTCTTAGGAGGTAACGTTGTCTCATGGAAGAGTAAGAAACAATCGGTGGTAGCAAGATCTAGTGCTAAGGCTAAGTATAGGGCAATGACGCATATAACGAGTGAATTGACTTAGCTACTACACTTCTTCCAAGAAATTGGGTTTCCAGTTTAACTTCCTTTACAGTTGTTCTGTGACAACCAAACAGCTATCCATATCGCTGCCAATATGATGTTTCACGAGAGAACCAAGTATATTGAGGTTGATTGTCACTTTATTCGAGACAAGATAGCAGTTGGGGAGATTACAACTCCATTTGTGAAATCTGAAGATCAGCTTGCAGATATGTTTACCAAAGCATTGAGTCGTACACATCTTACAGCGATTTGTTCCAAGCTTGGATTATATGATATATATAGTCCAGTTTGAGGGGGAGTGTTAAGAATATTAGGGTAGTATATATAAATTGTTAATAGTAAGAGGATGTATGTTTAATTCTTATTATTATGAGTTAACTATAAATATAAGTGTTGTATGAGAGCTAGGTTAGGTTGTTAACCTCTCTCTTTTTCCCAAAATATTGTCTTTAATATTGTTTTAATCTTCCAAACTTAACACCTTTAAATGGAATGTTTGGGTTATTGTCTGGCGCAAAGGTAAAAACTCGGGCAGTCAACCTAAAGCAATGATCAACATATCGTTTCGAAACGGTNTTCCCTAAATATTGTCTTTAATATTGTTTTAATCTTCCAAACTTAACACCTTTAAATGGAATGTTTGGGTTATTGTCTGGCGCAACGGTAAAAACTCGGGCAGTCAACCTAAAGCAATGATCAACATATCGTTTCGAAACGGTTAAAATAGTGTAAATGTTTCTGTTTTCAAGTAAATCGAAACGAATCAGTGATTGAATCTAAATTCTAGATGTTACGACATGTTTGCACTAATGTTTTGAGGTATTTTAAAATATTTCAGTATGTTTTGACCAATCTTTTGTAATGTTTTGTAAATAAATTTTCAAAATTTTGGTGTGTTTCTATTTTTTTTTACCAAAACAATATGTCAACAAAATTTTTATCTGTGACCTAAAGGTTGTGGGTTTGCANATAAATTTTCAAAATTTTGGTGTGTTTCTATTTTTTTTGACCAAAACAATATGTCAACAAAATTTTTATCTGTGACCTAAAGGTTGTGGGTTTGCATATGAGGTGACCATTTTGTGCAAGTTATTCCAAGGATTAGCTATGTAGCAAGTCTACGCCTTCCAGAACCCTCGACTAGTAGGGACTAAACTAAGAAATGATGATATACATCAACAGTTCAACTTTCAACTCTTGTAATGCACCTATTGATTCACGTATTACTTGAAGGCTCTTCTTTTATTATTGGTTAGCAATGTTTTTCTCGATTTGTTTTATTGAAAAAAATTAATTGTGGTCTTTGGTGCTAGTTATGTATTTGTTGCAGTAATCTATATATTCTCTGGAATATATGTTAACTATTCAAGAGGGTTGATATGGTTATCTTTCCATAAGTTTTGGTTTTGAGTATGCAAAAATGGGTCATTTTACCCCTTACTGGAAATGGTTAGTGCACTTAGAGCATGATATATTTGTGAGCAATGGATCCTTACTAAATGAACCATGCTTTCCAGACTTTGCTGACTAGAACTTACCAGTTTAGGTTGGCAAGAAGATGCTGGTGAATTGATTGATGAATGTTTTTCTTTAGACTTCTTTTGGACCCCCTTTGTGTCTGATTTCTGATTGTTCCTAGTAGATTTATTGACTACTAGCAATAACTTCGTATCTGAAAACACTTTGTAATATCAAAAAATTGTGCATTGATTGTACAACATTCATACTTTAAATAACAATTTCTTTTTCTTTTTTTTTTAAATCACACAATTTAAAATTAAAGTAAACAAAGAGAAAATAAGGGAGGTAGGAGAGAGAGATAGGTGTGGATTAGTGGATTTGTTTGATATTGAGCAATGTGTTGGGTGAGTTGTCAGACATTGGGGATAGAGAAGATGACTTTTTTAGCGGAAAATTTTTTTTTTGGATGAATTTTGTACCATTTTATAAAAGTAAATAAAAATTAAATCAATCTTAACCGTTATTGTACTTTTATAAGTTGAGAATTTAACTTCCTAGCTGTAATATTAGATAGATTAGTGTTCAAGGAATCGGAATTGATCCATAAAAGCCTGTTTTACTGCTTCTTTGCTCCATGAATCAACAATTTAGAGAGACAGCATATGACCCTTTCTAGTGACATTCGTAACTGAGTTGAACTTTTCAGAGACTTCTTTCCCACAGATTGCAGACTTCGGACTGGTAAAACTGCTAGAGCAGTCACCAGAGGTTAGAACAGCAGCTTCTAGAATTGTTGGAACGTTTGGTTATCTTGCTCCTGAGTACGTTATCTACAATTTCTTTTCTTTTTTGATTAAGATGATATATTTTCAGTTGCACTGAAGAAATTTCTTACTTTGGTGTCGTGGAGTAGTTGTTTATAGCATTCTGAATGTTGGATGGCTCATACAATTTTGTTATTGTTCAAACCAGGTATGTTCGAGATGGGTGTGTGACGACCAAGAGCGATGTTTATTCGTTTGGAGTTGTTCTGATGGAACTACTAACTGGCCAACCAGCTCTTAGCAGAGATGCACATCCTACAAACGCCCTGTATAGTGAACATCGTTCTCTGGTGGAATACGTAAGTGTACAATAGTTGCGGGACTCATTACTTTGAAAGTAAATAAATAATTGCTGGAGGATATTGGAAAGGATTTATGAGTAGGATTATACTACTGGTGAGCATGAAGTCAGGTGAGCCTTTTTCTAATTTCTTGGCATTACTATACTTTGCCTTGACCACCAAGAGGCTTTTTCATGAATAATGCACAATCTGAGAAGAAATGGATATCAACTTTTGTGGTTTATCTAAGACACGGCAAGTACCAGTGTATTGAAGAGGTACTCATAGCAGATGAATGGAAGGATTGCGAGAGAGGAGGTGGAGAATTGCTACCATCCCTCTCACTCTCAATGTCTACAATAAACGTAAAAGATGAGTCTACGCAGTACAAGGGTGCAGTTATTACAACATATGAATATACTTACTGTTATTCTCACTAGTGTGCACAGGCATCCACACACGTATGTTGATAGGACAATCTTCTCTGAACTTGGATTCTCAACATTATATTTAACTGTTTGGTACTAGAGTTGATTGATTAGACAAACCCTGAATTTCAGATGCTCTCAGCTTTGGAGAATGATGATCCTTGGCATAAGCTTACTCAATGCATTGATCCAAATCTCACCCACTACCACAAAGATTCACTGTTCCAGGTTAATTCCATTTTCTTTTTCCAGTGGTTACAATCACTTACCAGAATATCATTATAATTACCTTCAATTTTCTTTTGGTTACAATCAAGTTCTTGACTAATGTGGCTTAGATGCAGTAAAGATGTTTTGTTCAATATAAGCTCTAGTCATGCTAGTGTTTGGAAGTTTTCAATTGACTTGGAGATGTATGTAGAATATTTTGTACCTTCAGAATTATTATAGGTTATAGCTTTCGTATTAAGCTGTATATTACCTTTCTTCTTTTGATACTGAAGACACTACTTCCAATTTCTTTTTGGTACAACATGCACACATTTATCCTGAAGCACAAGCCTAAATGGCATGGTAAATTAAATCTACGCACAAGCAGTCAACAGAGAGATGGTTCAAGTAGTAGCCCTCATCATACTTACGATACTTCCATCGAATTTCATAGGCTTTTGAATGTGCTTATTATCTACTAAGGGGGTTATCTTGCGAAAAATTTCACTGATTTACCAGGTAAAATGGAAGTGATAATATACTCCAATTGAAGAGAACAAGTCAATGTTTCCAAGCAATAATATCCTAAAAGTACAATGCTGTATTTTCTTTAGGTTCTGAATATGATAACCACAATTGCAAGAAATAAGCATGTCATCCTGATAGAAGTGTAAGGCTATCCTTGTAAGGATGGATCTAGACCATTCTGTGCAAAACCAGCACTTAAAATGACGTGACATGTGATATGGCCACCCTCTGGCTTATGCTCGAGGCCTGTAAGAACTTGAAATTAAGAAAACCTGGCCACCACTTATCCTAATGAGCTTGATGTTGGCAATTTATTTTAAATGGCCATGGAGTAAGACATTACTTTTTCAAGCATTTTGGAAAATCAAATGGCATACACAGCAAGAACAAAATCTACCGCCATCAATTTAACAAGAGCAAAAATCTTTTCATAATTGGCTCCCAATTGACCTACTCCAATGAATCCCTGTGTACCGTAGATATGCAATAGAGAAGACACAACTACCTAGAGCAGATGTACTAGGAGGAATCCTATGAAAGGTGTCTTGTATCAGAAGTCCTTGAAGGAATCATGTCTCAGCTGTATTATTTGACAAGTGTCTCTAGTCAGGAGACTATTTTAGTATTCTAAATGTACAAACATTGATTTAATCCATTCTTATACATCTGATTTTAGTATATTTAACACAATTTCCTGTGGTCTGACTATTCCTATTTTTCCTCCAAAAGATGGCCGTGTTGTCCAAGGACTGCGTTGATGATGACTGGAATCGACGTCCAGACATGTCCCATGTACTACTCTGCCTCTCACACATCCTCGAGTGCTCCAGGAAGTGGGAGAATGATTGAGTAAATCCACCAAAAGTCCTGGTATGTTTTCTTTCCTACTGGCTTTCTCCTTTCCACTACTTTTTTACTCTTGCAGTCAAATTGTGCCTCTTCACGATGTATCATGTTGAAGGAACTGTCATGGTTGAATAGTTAACAGAATTTTCAATGGGAAATTGTATAGTCATGGTTGTAGTAGCTACAAGATGCATTCATGACAGTTGTGTTGCACTGTAAAGATGCCCCGAAATGAAGCATCAAGTGCTTCAGAATTTGTAGTTTGAACTTTGATAAACTACTTATGTTAGGATATGGAATTGCAGGGTGAACCTCCTGGCTGTGTCTGCACCCCTACCTCCTTTGTTACTGAGTGGTCATTTAGAGTCCTTGGTGCAAACTAATGATTTAAAATTGTTTTCTCTGGAAGTTTTGGTCTATATAAATATGGAATACATAATGCAAATACAGGTGAAAGTAATACGACTATTAGGGGAGCTAAATTAACTAACACTTTTGCATAATCTTGGTCAATGTGTTGCAATGATCGTAATTTACTCTTATGGCTATGTACTCGGTTAATTATGTGAGCATCTAAATTCATGTTTTCTAAAATGAATCGAGAGAAACTTTCTTGTCTCCTGTTTGAAATTATGTGTAACAAAGATTTCAGGTTTTCAGCTTATGCAATCCTTTGAAAAACCTTTTCTCGATCATGATTTCAAGAACTTCAAAAGGGCCTATAAACCGAGGATCCAACTTCCCTTTCTTTCCAATCTTTCCAATGCCTTTTGATGGAGAAACTCCCAAGAANCTGTGTAACAAAGATTTCAGGTTTTCAGCTTATGCAATCCTTTGAAAAACCTTTTTTCGATCATGATTTCAAGAACTTCAAAAGGGCCTATAAACCGAGGATTCAACTTCCCTTTCTTTCCAATCTTTCCAATGCCTTTTGATGGAGAAACTCCCAAGAACATATGACCTCCTATTTGAAGTTTCAATTTCATTTGTGATTACCAGCATAACTCTTTTGTCTACTCTGACCAAAATGATTTCAAGCACGAATGTGTTTGATTTTTTTTCGTGGTGCTCACTTGAACTAATTCAGGACTAAGAAAGTTTATTTCTTCAATTTCCTCCCAACGGCCTGGTTATTGATTTGATCCATTCTTTTGCCTCTGATTTTACTCTCTTTTAACACAACGTCCTGTGGACTGACTATTGCTATTTTTCATCCAGAAAGATGGCCACCTCCTCTAAGGACTGCGTTGATGATGATTGGAATCGATGTCCAGACATATGTCCCATGTAGTATTTTGCCCCTCACACATCCTCAAGTACTCCAGGGAGTGGGAGAACTCTTGAGTACATCAACGCGAATTCCTGGTATTTTTTATTTCCTACTGGCTTTCTCCTTACTGCTGTTTTTTCACTCTTGTGGTTCAATTGTACCTCTACGCGACCTATCATGTTGAAGGAACTGTCTTGTGTGAATAGTTAACATAATCTTCAATGGGACATTGTATACTCAAGGTTGATGGCAAATCCAGATATAAATACCAAACTTGAGTATGGATTGGATTAAGTTGGGGTTGTTAGTAATTTTAATAGCTATATCATTATTCAATATTCTATTCAAACAAAGTGTTGTATGGTATAAGTGTGGGTCCACAATTTTTCAATACTTGAACCAAATAAAGAATAAAGAGCATGGCTTTAAATTTGCTTTGTTTTCTTCGATTGGGTGTGTATGAGATGGATCAGTTTATCGAGTCTGATCATTCCTAACGAAGAACTGGAAGACTTTTGTATGTATGGTAACCCTCTCTTCTGCTACTGGTGGACTGTTGCACAGAAAGGTAGATAGAAGTAACGTTTTCATTAGCGTGCTTTCCAAGCTCTTAGCTTTTGCTAGCGGCGGGGCGGCAAGGCCATAAAGTAAATTCAGTTCCTGCAATCCATAACCTAACAAAACATAAGCAAAAAGGGACAACCCGTCCAAGAAACTTTCACGTCCGATTTTGAAGGGTTGGGGTGGGGGAGTTCCTATAAGATCCTATCCCAAATTTTCTTTTGCTAGACCCGTAGCTAAAACAATTCACTTTTTATGCTCATGAGGTTTATGTAAAATATGAAATCCAATACTTGAAATACATCATCTCGCCTTTTCTTCCCCTACCCAAGGCTTCGATACACCTTATTTTAACTCAAGCCCAAAATAGGCTTGATCCTAGGAAAACCGTCCTAGAAGTGTCAAGAAAGCCCTTTCTTTTGGATCATAAATTTGGGATGAAGCTAGTCAATTGGGTAATCTCATTTGAGACTTCAAGCCTCCATCGTGGAAGAGATAGATCGAGCATCTCACTTTGAGTCTTCCGTAGTGTAATGAAAGCCTTNCTTAGGGGCCTTTATAACTAACTTAAAAGCTAACATCGAACTATAACTTGAACTATAAAACAACCGAATTGAACTCTAAAGGGTAGTTTTAATGGTAATAGTAACGAGTTGTAAACTCAGACGTTCGGAGTTCGAATTTTGATGATTCTTTGGAGTTAGGTTATAAGAGATTTTTCTCTCATAAATATTCTAATCTCGATCTAAATTACTTGCATTTGACANTTTAGGGGCCTTTATAACTAACTTAAAAGCTAACATCGAACTATAACTTGAACTATTAAACAACCGAATTGAACTCTAAAGGGTAGTTTTAATGATAATAGTAACGAGTTGTAAACTCAGACGTTCTGAGTTCGAATTTTGATAATTCTTTGGAGTTAGGTTACAAGAGATTTTTCTCTCATAAATATTCTAATCTCGATCTAAATTACTTGCATTTGACAAAACTAAAAAAAAATTAATTAAAATACACATAAATCCATCGACACACCTATTGAAAAAAGAAAAGAAAACAACCTAGAAAGCTTGTGGAGCACTAAAAGTACACAATTTCTTGTCGATTACATATAAAAGTTGGTCAACAAACACAAACCATTAAAATCATATGGTGATGTGGGAAAGGCAATTACTGTCAGAGATCTAATCATGAAGCTGTCTGTTTATCCAAATTTGAAGTATCGCATAGTGTCCATAAAGTATAATTCATAGTGCAGTTNACCTAGAAAGCTTGTGGAGCACTAAAAGTACCACTTGTAAAGCTTGTGGAGCACTAAAAGTACACAATTTCTTGTCGATTACATATAAAAGTTGGTCAACAAACACAAACCATTAAAATCATATGGTGATGTGGGAAAGGCAATTACTGTCAGAGATCTAATCATGAAGCTGTCTGTTTATCCAAATTTGAAGTATCGCATAGTGTCCATAAAGTATAATTCATAGTGCAGTTATTGTGGAAGATGCATTACATAGAAAGAGCTTAATCACCTCTNTATGAAATCCAATACTTGAAATACATCATCTCACCTTTTCTTCCCCTACCCAAGGCTTCGATACACCTTTTTTTAACTCAAGCCCAAAATAGGCTTGATCCTAGGAAAACCGTCCTAGAAGTGTCAAGAAAGCCCTTTCTTTTGGATCATAAATTTGGGATGAAGCTAGTCAATTGGGTAATCTCATTTGAGACTTCAAGCCTCCATCCTGGAAGAGATAGATCGAGCATCTCACTTTGAGNCTCAATTGTTTCCACTTATTCACAAGAAAAATATGAGATTTTCTAGTTAGTTAATGGAGATTTNCTGGAAGAGATAGATCGAGCATCTCACTTTGAGTCTTCCGTAGTGTAATGAAAGCCTTATTAAATCATTTTTAAAGTATAAGTTTGAGATAAGATAAAAAAAAAAAAAAAAGTTTTGTTGACAAAATGAAAGAAGTGTGCTCTTTACGTCCCTTAAATCTCCATAATTTTCCCTTCGATCTTCTATTCTTACGACTTCTTTGTTTATAATGCTCTTTACATCCAAGAGTTGTCGAAAGTATGAGCTCTACATCGTAGTTTTCAAAAGTGTAGAAAAAATGAGTAATTCGTTAAAGAGAGTGAACGCGCCTTGTTGTTGTCAACTATCCTGTCATTCTGAAAGAATGGAGTATTTCCAGTAGTGTTCTATCCCAATACTAGGTGTATCACTGTTATACCTAGGGCCAGATTTGAAATGATAAAATAAAAGTTAAAAATGCCATAGCTGGGAAGGTACCAACGAGATAAACAAAAAGGAAGCGACCTCAAAAAGTATTAACCAAAACAAAAGAGTAATTTAAAAAAAATATATAAATAGCCCCTAAATTATTTCACTGATTTTAATTAAGCCATTGAACTAAATTTTGTGTTAATTTGATTCAACGTGGTTCCAATTTCGTGAATTTTTCAAACATAAGTAACACACTTGTGACACTTATGATTAATCGAGCGCGCGATAATTTATACATTCTGATAAAAAAAAACTCAAATACCCCAACACAATTTCATATATCAAATGTGAGGTTTTTGAGAGGATTGTGTTTAATGATTTGAGATTTTTCATCAAAATATCTGAAGTACCCAAATGGATCAATCAAAATATATATAATGCACTAAGATTTTGT